GAGAAATGGTGGCAAAGGGTTTACTAAGGTTCAGGTAGACACATGCACAGCCCTTCCCTCATCCACCATGCAAGTCACCTTGTTGTAGAACATCAGGTTGGTCAGGCAGGATCTGCCTCTCCTAAAAAAATGCTGGTTGGGACTGCCCCCTGCTTGTCCTGTATGTGCCATATGATGGCACAGAAGATGGTCTGCTCTACAACCTTCCACTCCACTGAGGCCAGGCTGTAGTCCCCAGACACATTTTCTGACCCTCCTTCTAGATGGGCATTGCATTTGAAAGCATCCAGTCAAGTGGGAGCTGCCTGGTTAGCCAGGAAGGCTGGGAAATGATGGAAAGTGGCTCAGTGAGCACCTCTGCCACTCCCTCAGTGCCCTTGACTGCATCCTATCTGTCCTCAGAGACTTGGCTAAGTGGTGTAGTACATACTTATAAAAACGCTTTTTTATTATCTTTTACAGCAATGGCTGTAATGTCTTGTACAAGTCCAACCCAAATAACCTATGCAGTTATTTTCACTCTTCAATTATTCAAGGACCACCACCTTACAATAAGCAGCAACAAAAATACATGAATTAGGAAGCAGAATAGTATAGTCTTCCCATATTTTCTGGTGGGGTATTTCATGACAATGTGCCCCATGCTGCTGCATTACACCCACAGAGGATCAGAGAATGCAGCCAAAGCAATCCAAGACATCACTCAACTAGAGCAGAGCTTCTCCTCACAATGTTTTCACTCCATGCCACTCACCACATGACAAACAGCTTCTGACAGAGGAGCAGAACTTGGCACAGTGCAGCAGGGCAGATCTACCCCGTTTCTTTTTTTAGATTTAATTAAAATACCCAAATAAAAACAAAAGTAGAAGAGACACATATTGACATTACTATGCACTGCAACAGCTGTTGAGCACGTTTTATTCTGAAGGTTTGACTTAAGTTTTAGTCTTCAGGCAAAATATGCTCTCAGTCATCCCCTGCACTGGCAATGGCCTGTGCTCCTCCCCATTAGGGTGCAGGCAGGCACATGGACATATTTTATTCTTCCCTGTACCCCAGCATTCCTATATCCAACCATGATAGTATTTCACTTGCCAAGCTGATGAAATATTTCCTTCTTCTGAAGCAGAGCTGAAAAAGGACTCGAGTTAATGAATGAAAGCTGGGCTACACAGCAGCCTGCTAATTCTGTCTGGAACAATCCAGCAGAGCTCACTGCAAACACTGATACTCCACTATGGGCTTTTCTCATCCTCCACACACACCCACATGCCCCTAGTTACAACACACACAGGTATCTGCAAAATATTGTGACAAGCAGAAAAATAAACCTTTGCAATGAGTGCTGCTGGATGATTCCCTGCTCTGTCTCCATGCTCCTTCTTCCCTCCTTTATCAACCAGGAAATTTCAGAATCAAACACTGTAAAGTTACAAGGAAGGCATTTTGTATGCCCTATTTCTGAAGGTATGGATAGTCATGACAAGCCTCCAAATGCTGTCCTGTAGGACTGAAAAACCATGGTTTTACTAAAAAATTTCATAACCTTAAAATGGAAAAAAAAAATGCGCTGTGAGAAATAAACACAGTAAGAAAATAACTGAAATCAAACATGGAAATACAAATCAAGTTTTCTACTAAGCAATGCCTGTTGCACTGACAGGAAGTTCCCCATGACTTTTAGACCCTTGCAGAGCTATCAGTGCTCTGACTGTCTGCAGCTCACTCTGCTGACCGATGACACATGCTTGTTTGCCCGGTTCTTATGCAATGCTTTTTCTATTCCATTTTGAAACACAGCAGGAAAATTTTAATGAGGAAAAGAATTGTTTTCACTAACGGAAGATTTGGAAAGAACAACTTCATCCTCAAGAAAAACAATTCCCACTGAGCCCAGAAATCATGTGGCAACTCCTGCTAGACAGAGCCAACATGCATCACTCACAGGGCACAAGAACACACAACTGCTGCTACCTTTCAGTGACAAAACCAAAGCACAGTGACAGACAGAAACATCAGCCAAGCAGAAGAATTGATTCCCTCCTCTCTTCTTGAGGGTATAACTTGCAGTGAAACCAGACAGATGTTCCCCTGATCACACAGGGTGTGGTACCTAAAATCTCATAGCCCATATACACTTTTGTGTTTCTGGGAATTAATAAACAGGTAACAAACTTCTAGAGCTGCAGCCCTAGACAGACAAAGAATGCTGTTTGGCTTCCACGGTTTTAAAAACAAATTTCCCAACAGCAGGACACTCTGCCTTTAATTCCTAAAAGCCACTTCAGACAAATTCTAATAGATTAGGACACTTCCTGAACAAAAGACTGAACACTTTAAACTTCTCTCAGTCAGACAGCAAATCTGCATCACATTAACCACAAAAAGTAATTATCGACATTATGTAGCCCTAAATTTCATTTTCAATAAAAGATTTGACACATACAGATCAAAAAAATCACATAGCTAATACCAGAGGCTATCACAAAATGCACCTATACTTGTATTAGAGAAACTCTTTCAGTACTCAACTATACTCAATTCAAGAACCCAGGAAAAGTGAAGATGTCAAGTAACAAAATAAACAGCCAGCTTACAGCGTGTTCAGAAGGCTGATCTGATCTGGACAGTGCTATGGGGGGGCCTGAAGAGGCAACATCTGATCATGAAGGACAGCTTCTCCAAGCACAAGAACCCAGTCCACCCCAAGAGGCAAGAAAATGAGTAAAGCAGGTGGAGTTTGGCTGGACAGACAGTTTTGGACTAAGCTCAAATGCGAATAATCTGGGAGGTCAAGCAAAGACCTGTGAAGACTTCACCAAAACTGCTGAAGAGTGGCTTCCAGGAGGAAATGAACAAGATCCTGATGATCTCTTCATTGCTATAAATATATTTTCTTCAAACCTTGGCACTGAGAATCAATCTCTAGCTGGATAACAAGCAAATCCCTGTAAAACCAGTGCTGTATGTTCTGGAGTGCCTGATGACCACAGACAATCTCAAGGGCAAGATGAAATCGAGCAGATGAATAACCTGGTCATTGCTTTACTAACAGATCTGGAATTAGTTTTTGTAATTAGTAATTACACTAATTAGTGTAATTAGCCTGTGGCCAGGGATAAGACTGTGCACTTTCAGCTGACACCATCTGAGAGGTGTCACGTTATGCAAACTCCTGCAGTGATATTCAAAGCATGTTTAACCCAAAACTCCATTAAGTTACAAGCAGTTTTATTTGACAGCTAGGACAGGTGAGGAGCAGAGCACAACTCACTCCCACAGCTCCATCACCTGTGACCATATTTCTGCTCCCAGGGGGCTCTGGAAGAGTGACAAACAGGACTAAGTTTGGGCAGAACCAGAGCTTGATACACACATCTGGGCTTGTTTTCTAGTTAGCTTGTTCAGTTACAGAGCTGATGCATAACAACCTGAAAAAGACAAGGCAGTGGTTGGTGTCAATCACAATGACACCAAACCCTAAAGAGGCTGCTATGCCCTGCTGTGTCACAGCACTCTCCTGAACATCACGTTTGGTAAGGCATCAGGAGATCCGTGCCCCTGCAACATCACCTTCACTGAGGCTCTGGAGGCAGCTGCAAGAAGAAAGGAAGGATTTGAAATTACTCCCTCGGGTACTGGAGTGTCTCCAGTCATGGCATCTGCACAGATTATCCCAGAATCACTGTTGGAGAGGGGCCACCAGAGAATACTGCTGAAGAGATGCTGGTTTGCAGCCCTTTAACCAAGTAAAGGAAAAAAATTCTAGACAAATTAGGATGAAGTAAAGAAAATCAATTAAGGGTAAGACGAAGCAAGAAAAAGCTGAAAAAGACCTTCCTCAACTTATAACCAACACATAACCTACACCATGCCCCTGTCTGGAGATGGGTGTCTGTAGACCCTACTTGGTGCAAGAACATATATAAAACACCAGCTGTTAAGTCCTGACACAATTCCATTTCAGGCTCAAAAGCTTCCACACCTCTTCATCCTGGCAGCTCCTTTTCCAATCACACGGTTTTGCAGACCCAGTAAAAGTTTTATCAAACATCCGTTTTCTAAGAGCAGATTCCAGGGAAAGAGAGCAGAGACTTGCCAAGAGGGGAAAAAAAAATAACCCTACTTCTGCTAACTGAGAGTATAGGCAGGGAACTACTCACATCCCAATGACATATTATCTGCTTTATGCCTTGAGTACCATGTGTAGAGCATGGCTTGCACACAGGACTTGCACACTTGCCTGACTTTTAGTTCAATGAAAGTATTTCAGTATATTTTATCTCGTTTTATTTTTAGCCATCTATAAGCACCTTTTGGTACACGTAAGTTAGGAAATGAATGGTATATCAGTCTACTGTAGAGGGGCTCCACTCATTCATACAACACATGGAAACCCATTTATAGTCTCCTCTGACATGCTCAACTCAAAATTCATTCAACATCTGGATATTTCCAACGCAAAGTTTTGAGAAGTTATAAATACTTCCAAAATCATCAACTACTTGGGAATTTCTACAGCTATTGCACACATCCGTGACAGTTTTTCAAATAAATTATTTGAAAAGTTGCTTCTCAAATTTTTCAATCAGATGTGTTGCACAACCCAATAATACACAGGTCTCCAGGAGCCATAACTGCTGCTGAGGCCGAGGGAAGAGCTGAGGGGGAGACAAAAGCTGCAGGCAAACACTGCAGGAATTGCAGCAGCTTGGAAACTGCAGGACCTCAAGCTCAGCAATGTTTCAAACAGAGCAGGGAGAGTGTACCAGCAGATCACTGCTTCTGTGGCAAAAGCTGCATAGCAGAACTCCACAAGTAAGAGGGATCACACTATGAGGGGACAAGGAAAATCCCTCACACACAGTAGGTTCAGCACAACAAAGCCTGTAGATTTGCAGGCTAAGAAAGTCGCTATGTTCATGCATTTTTAAAAGTAACTTATTATGAAACCACTGACTTGAGGCACATGGATTGTGATTCTCAACTAAACATACCTTATTCAGCTTCCGGAGTTTAAGATAATCCACAACAGACAAAACTGAAGGAAACCAAAGAAGTGGCAGATAAGACTTTCATGATTATCATTATCCTAATCAGTATATTGCCCGTTAATTACCAGCTGGAGGTTACTATACTACATATTAAGTTTCACAGCAGCAGAGTTAGCTCCATTCTGAAGGCAAACTCCACCATGACTCTCTGTTTGATGCTCCATCGGAATGGCTACAGCTATGTTCCATCAAGGACTAGCTCTAGTCTGGAAACCATTCAGCCACACCATGCACCACAGCAACCAAACTAACAAGGCACTCTGTGCTGCGGCTGGCTGTACATACAGCTCCAGCAACTCTGCACAGCATTCCCAGAACCAGGAACATCCAGCAGAGCCGATCGGGATCCAGCCTCGCTTGTGAGGCCCAAGCATCCTCTCAGACTTCCCCAGCAGCTAAACCCGCCCAGGAGCGATGCAGGTGCGCTGAACTGTGCCCTGGGGAAACCCGCACAGCCCGCGCCCGGCCCCGGGAGCCGCGGCCATCGACCGAGCCCTGGGCAAGTCGCGGGCCCGGCTCTGAATCCCGGCTGCCTCTGGCCGCTCCTCAGTGCCTGGGCGAGCCCAGGGAGCCGGGCAGTGCCTCCTGCCCCTGCTGCCTTTCCCCCAGCTCTTCCACCAGCGGCAAAGCAGCCGGCACAGCCGGGCACATCCCGCCAGGCCCGGGGACGGCCAGACAGGGTCCGGGCCCGCGCTCCGGGCAGGCAGAAGCAGGGGCAGAGCCCACGCTGAGCACACGCGTCGGCCTCACCACCCGCGGCCTCACAGCCCCGGCCCGCCGGTCCCAGCCCAAGCCTGTGAACAGCACCGGGGGCTGCGGGGGTGCTCCGTGTGCAGGGCCCGAGCGGGTTCTTACCGAGAGGCGGCTCCGGAGCCGGGCCCGGGGCCCGCAGCGGACATGGCAGCGGCGCCCGCGCTCCCCGCCCGCCGCCGGAACAGAGAGCGGCGCCGGCAGTGGCGTCACGGCCCGGGGCGGGGATGAGGGGACTGAGGGGCCGAGGGGACTGAGGGGGCTGAGGGGCAGCGGGGATGAGGGGACTGAGGGGCCCGGCCCGGGAGCCGCCGCTGCGGGTCTGGGCGCTGTCACCTTCCTGGGGCCGCCCTCCCGCTCACTCTCCCAGCGGGTGTTTCAATAGAGCGGGCCCGGCCAGCCCGGCTGGATAGCACCAAAGCCGCTCCATCACTGCCCTCCTCAGCCGGGCAGGGGAGAGAAAACACAATAAAAAACTGATGGGGCGAGAGCAGGGCAGGAGAGATCGCTCACCCAGCACCGGTACAGCAGACTCGATTCGGCTGGGGGAATCCATTTAATTTATTGCGAGAGAAATCAGAGTAGGGTAACGGGAAATAAACCGCTATCTTAATCCCCCACCCCTCCCTGGTTTTCGGGCTCGGCTGTGTTCCTGATTCTCTTCCTCCTCCCCCCAGCCGGGAGATAGGGGATCATCACAGGGCATGGACGCCTCAGAGTTTTCCCCTCTCCAGCACGGGTTATTTCCCGCGGGGTCAGTATTTTAGGAAGATGCAGCTTCACTGCGGGTCCCCCATGGGGTCACAAATCCCGCCAGCAAACTTGCTCCAGAGTGGGCTTTTGTCTGCGGGTCCTGCCAGGACCCTGCTCCAGCACGGGCTTCCCACGCAGTCACAGCTTCTCGGGCATTGCCCTGCTCTGGAGCCTCCTCCAGGGGCTTCAGAAGCATCTCCGCACTCCCTGCCCTCCATGGGCTGCAGAGGAATCTCAGTCCCAGCACCTGGAGCAGGTCCTGCCCTCCTTCCCCACGGCCGCTGGGCTCTGCAGGGATGGTACTCGCATATTCTCGCTCCCCTTTTCTTTGGCTGCCAATTGCTCCTGTGCAGAAACTGTTGTTTCCTTTTTTATTATGTTATCCCAAAGGTGCTGCCACCATCTCTGATGGGCTCAGGTCCGCCCTGGAGCCTAATGGCTTTGGCTTCATTGAACACGGGAAAGCTTCTGACAGCTTCTCACAGAAACCATCACTGCAGCCCTCCCCTCTCCTGGCCTCCTCCACTACCACAGCCTGGCCCTGCAAAATCAATACATTAAAATGGTTTGTCAGGTCACAGCCACACAACTGATCTGCATAAATTTCCCATATGCAGGTCAGAGAGTTCAGGGGGTTTCGTCTTGTTGGCTTTTGGAGAGCTCTAGCAGATTTTTCAGGAGTTGTTTCCTATCTGAAATGATTTCTTCCCCTTTTAGCAGGTAGAACCTTAATTTTACCCCTCCCAAGAGTTCTTGTGATGGTTTAAAAAAAAAAATAAAAAGGACGCATTAAAGCTGTTCCAGTGTGGTACCAAAGCTTTCTCTCAAGTATAAATACAGAAAGATAAGAAGATGGAGAAAGTTAAAGGGCGAACTTGTGGAACACACTTTATTTAAAAGAACTTTTGAGGATCCATTTCATTGCAAGGTAAAGTAGAGTAATGCAACATTGTGGTAAGAACAAGAAGGTATTTCCAGGAACAGAAGTAGCAGCTTAGTCTGGTTTTTAGAAATGAATTTTTACTGACTAGTTAACGTAACATCTCCTGAAGTGGCTTTGGGGCTTTCCCCTTATCCTTTTCCTCAGATAGAAGTTTATGTTTGTTCCCTGAGCCCACAGTGCTTGCTGTGGAATAAAGCCTGTTATGTACCCATAGTAAAGGGCTAAACTGTAAACTATTGCAAGCTTTCCAAGAATCAGGAGAAGATCATGCATCTGCCAGCTTTCCATGTAAAAATCCTTTCAATTTCCTCCAAGAGTTGCCAAACTCCATCTATCGGGGCTTTAGGGTCTGTGAAATGAGAGCTCCACTATTGCTGGGAGCCAAAGGGGGAAAGCAGGTCCCCTCCATCTGCCAGCTGCAAGAGCTTCTCCTCCAGACTGTGCCCACAGAACAGTGCAGAAACAGAGGCAGATTCCTCCAGCAAGCCAGATTTAGGCTTTTAAGTTACAGAAGTTGCTTCCTGCCTGTGTGCTGTGGCTCTGCAGATTCAGGGTGCATCTTTGAATGAGTCTCAGGAGCATGAGGTACTGGCAAGTGTTTGTTGTGGGCCATTACTGGAACAGAGCCCAGGACTAGGAGGGAGATGCATTCTTATTGTGATCAGACTCTTTCCTCTGGCACTGGGCCTGGAGTGCAGGGCTGGCCCATGCAATGGCCTTAGAAAAATAAACATCTTCGTTCTTTTCCTCATTGGCACAAGCTGCCTGGGGAGCTCCAGAGGATACATCTGAAGGACCCATATCTCCAATGGGTACAGGCAAAGCAGGACATGTATTGGTGCTGTCTTTGGAAAGACTTGGGCTCATCTCTCCTGTTCTAGGGAAGGTGTGGGAAAGCTGCTGTCCTGCACATGAATAATTGGTGTCACAGGTCAGATACACTCTTCCCATAATCAACAGACTATGTTTTTTAGGGAACTAACAACTGTTGTGAAAACAAGTACTTTCCCTTCCCTGCCCAATTTCCTGTGCTAGATTGAGCAATTTGGGTTAGAAAAGGAACCCCAAGTGTCTTATGACTGGTAACAGGACTCAGCACCCACGGAAAACCACTTTGCCCTGGGCCCCAGTGAACTGCATCCAGCCCTGGGTGAGGGACCTCCAGTGCTGTTGGAGGGTATGAATTATCTGTCTGTCAAGTGTCCTGACCTAGCACTTCACTTGCTCTAGATCCAGAGCTAGTCAGCTTCGATTATTTGCAGCAGAACTTGAAGGGCTGGAGGAAGGCATAATGTAATGGCTATAACCCTAATTTAAATAAATAAGTACAAAGATACAGAAGCATTTTAAGCTTTTTTTCTTTATCATAATGCCCATGCTGACAATAGCCCTCTGTTACCTGGAGCTCCTTAGCAAGACTGGGTGTCTGCAGGCCCATGCAGTCAGAAATTACTAAACTGAGTGCATGAGGCCTCTGGCTGGCCAGTTCTGTTCTCACACAGGAAGCCAGGGCAGACCATGGTTTCCTTTGGCCATAATGCTGATCTGGTGAAGGGAGGGGTACAGATGTGCTGAGGTACTGCTAATTTCTCTTTCTTCCCTGCTTTACTGACCCAAGATCTGCAAGCAAAGATTCATAATAGCTACTCCCAGACATCTGTCAAGTTTGGATCCCAGTAGACCACGTGAGTTGCTAAGAAGGGATGAAGGGATCAGAGGTGCAGATGTCTTTGACAGCAGTTGAAGAATTCTGTGGACTACATCTCTTACAGCCACTCGAGAGCTTCATCAGCTCAGATTCTCTTCACAGGACCATGTAAGCTGCTTAGAAGGGCCACCTGATGATACTGAGCTCAATCTGTTCTTCCAGGTCTTTTAGAAGTCCCTTACAGCTGATACTGGGTCCTCTGTAAGAGCTGCGAGGGCAGGCAGAGGAGCAGGGATGGTGCTGTCTGGACCAACACAATGGGTAATTTTGGTACACTCAGCTGCTAGCTGCTCACTGCAGAGGCTCAGTGACACACTTCTTTCACGTTAAAGCAGGTCATCTGGGCTGTTCTCAGTGCCCATGAGAATACCAGCCCAGACAGAAGGAGCTTTGCTGCCAGGTTCTAGTTCTGCCCATTGTATGTGACAGAAGAAATGAGTGTCCATTCTTCTGTCTAATGGGAAAAAGAAAATGTAAAATCCTGGTCCTCTGTTGTGTCCCTTGGTGCCTCTTCTTGAGAAAAGATGAGTGAATGATTCCTGCCCCTCCATGTGCAATCAGAACACACCGAGTGGCCCTAACAGATCCCAATGGCATCCTCTTGCTGAAGCGTGCCCTCAATCATCGTGTCTGTTGTTTGCCTGGAACACTTGCGACTCCCTTTCATGCTTTTCAGGTTTTCTGAAAGATGCTTCTGGAACTTCTTGGTGAGGAAGCAGTAGATGATCGGGTCCAACACACAGTTGGTACTCAAGAGGCACAAAGTCACCTGGTGAGCATCGTTGAGCTGTTGGCGCAGCTGACAGTCTTCCTTCTTCCACTGCTCCAGGACAGTCAGAGTCCAGGGCAGGTTCACGATGTGATGGGGCACAAAGCTTATGATGAACACAGCCAGCACTGTGCACACCATCCACAGTGCCCTTTGCTTGACGTGAGCGCTCTTCCGGGGATGTGTTGACTTGGAGAACAGGGTCCTCATAATGACAATGTTCCAGCCTAGTACTAAAAGGAAAATGATATAGAAGAGGATGCAGATGATGACATGAATGGCAAGAACAGCTGAAACACCACTCGAGGTGTCATAGCGCTCAAAGCACCTTGTGAAATTCCTGGAGCCGACCTCCTCCTGGTTAGTATTATTGTCAAAGAGGTAATACAAAGAGCTGCCCACTATTATGATCCAGATAGCTGCTGACAGGTAGATACCTCTTCTCTGGGTGGTCAACTGAGCAGCTCTAATAGGATTAGTCACAGCTTGGTAACGGTTGTATGTGATGACCATCAGAAAGGCAACAGAAGAATAGGTGTTAACAAAAAACAAACAGCCAGCCACACTACACAGGAACTGAGGCATGATCCAGTCTCCATGGTGGTGGTAGTAAACAATCCACATTGGCATTGTAACTAAGAAGAGCAAATCAGCTACTGTCAGGTTCATCATGAATATCTTGATTTCATTGAGTTTCTTGGTGGGGTAAATACGGCTGAAAATCCAGAGGACATAGCAGTTGGCAACAAAGCCCAGAATGAAAATAATGCTGTAGAAAACGGTGAAGAGGTTGTAGCGAAACTCAGAGTCTATATCACATGAAACATAGAAATCAGCAGTGCCTTCCACACCTCCTTTGTCCTTTCCAGACATCATTCTGTTGATGGGCACGTCTGAAGCAGTTTCCTGCCACAGCTTTTATTCTTACCTAAAAATAGACAGCAGAAATCAAGCTGATTGGTTTGGCACCATTGCTAAG